GGGGGGGATTTATTCAAAAGTCCTCCCAGTCCAGGTGGGAACACAGAGAATGTGGATAGTCTAAGTGGAGAAAATACTGAACTCTAAGAGGAAAAGGAAAAGGGGAACTCAGAAAGGAAACTGAGAAGGGAAAAAGCTCTGTCCCTGCTTAATTACTCTTAAAAGGACAACTTTTTCCATTTTTGTACGCTCAGTAATGCTTCAGATAGTATGATATACAGCATTATGTACTAGATAATATTTTAGTTTGCCACATTTTCTTCAGCTGGAAAATGTTTCATTTTCTCTGAGATTTTGTTTTATATTTAATTCAGTTTTATTACTTGACAAGAAATATTTTTTAATTCATATCATTCCATAAACACCTACTATGTACTAGGGACTGTGTTAAATACTGTATTTATGTTGTCTCCTCTTATCCTTCAAATAATCCTGCAAAGATAGGTTTTATTATTTCCATTTTATGTTTGAAGAACCTGAGGATAAGAAAGATGAAGTGACTTGATCAGTGTTTTCACACATCTCCAAAATTCATTCTCTTAACTACTAATGATCTTGCATATGTTGAGACTAAAAAAAATTTTTAAGTCTCCTATTCTGGTTCCATAGTGAGAATTACACTAACTCCAACGCACTGATTTACACTAAAATTCGCATGGTCAGTCTCATGTGGGTTGGGCACCGCTCTGTTCAGGAGTACAGTGTGACCTTACTTAATCCTTTTCATCTCTCTAGGTCATAATTTCTTTATTTTTTAATTGACAGTTTGCATGAGATGATTCCTAAATTGCTCAATTGAAAATTCTAGAAATTCTTTTATTTTTAAAAACTCAAGAACAGGGGTTACTTGGAGTCTACTAGAAGGTTTTAGAGATTAACAAGATACATGATTTGGCTTCATGACTCAACTAAAATTGCAAGATAAAATATGCAAGATATAATGCATGTATATACATTTTTTTGAAGATGCAATTCATAGCTTTTCTCACAGTTTCATATAACTCCCCATTAACCCTCCACCTTGAGGATGTTAAGAAGTATAAGAACCAGAGTATTTTTACATAATGTAATAAACTGCAGTGCTTCATGAATCCCTGAGTTGTTTGTCTTTAACATGAGTATGACTGTTCCTTGAAAGTAGTTTTTTGAAGTAAGGAACAAATGTATTTATCTTAAGGGATAAGTTTATTTTCAGGCTATTAAGCCTATAATGTTTTCTGTTTTATTAACCAAGTAAAATACTTCTTGTTATTTTATTGCTTAAAAACAAATCTATTAAATAGAATAAGTAAAGATTTGACTCTGTCTTATGACAAATTAAAGAATGCTCAGTTTTAAAGAGTAACTCACATGCCCTTCACTAACATATATTCCCCACTTTGCATCTTCCTATAGGAAAAGAATATTTGAGGTCCATCTGTAAGGAAAGAAAAGGAAGCAACAACATAATGCCTAGAGCTCGGAGCCAGTTAAACCAGGTTTGTTCTTTTTCTTTACTTAATGTAACATGTTTATTCCAGTTTTGAATCTGTTTTATCGACTACTGCCTTATTCCACCAGCAAATATAATAATGTTTAACCTTGCCATAATAGTCTAGAGGAGACAAAGGAATATGACATGCCCTTTTCAAAATATTTACAACCTAATTACAAATACGAAAGAAAAATGATAAAAAGCTCGATGATACTCTTACTTTAAGATGAGGAGTTTTGTGAGGTTTGCTTAAGGTCAAAAGCCCTTAGAGGAGAGTCAGGCTGAGTTTCAGTCTCAGATCCCTTGACTTCATACCTCATTTGCCTTCCATTATGTCACAATTTCCCCCATTTGATTTAGGTTTAGTTGTGTAGATGCTGATCACTGAAGCTGACGTTTAGGACCCATATATATTTCATTTAAGGAAGCTTTCTGATGAAGTAAAAATGAGGGAAAGCATTCTCTATTCTCTGAAAGTTTAGATATTGAGAAAGGAACTAATAGTTGTAAGCACTTACTGTGTGCTAGACATTATTATAATGATTGAATGTGAGCTAACTCATTCCATTTAAAATGGCCAAGTGACGTACTTGGTATTATCCCTTATTCTTAGAGTGAGAAAGAAGTAAATTGCCCAAGATCACATAGCTAGAAAGAAACAAAAGCAGAATCAAAACCCTTTATAGAGAAAAGTTAAATGGAGTTTGTTTTATGCCTATTTACTTAAAATTTAATATCACATAAATCAAGCACATAGCTGAACAGTTTGATCTGAGCTCCTTTTCCTATTAGTGTCATTCATTGTTAATTCAAATGTTAGCAGTTGAATCATTTCACTAAAATGAAATTTACATCTTTTAAGTGTGCTTTTCATTGTAACCAATTTGAAAAGGTAGTGGTTTAAGCTGCATAATTCTGTGGTGAAGAGAAATTTTAAATTCACAGATTAATGAACAGGAACATACAGTAAAAGGAAGTTGAGGTGGGAGTCAGACCTGGGTCCTTCCAACTCCCAGCTTCCTTACTGACTTGTGTGCTTTCTAAGGCTCTTACTTTTGCACTCATTTTGTAAGATGAGAAGTTTCCCTAAAGATCTTAAAATTATAAAATAACACTATCAGTAGATTTTTTATGTGTTTCAAATGTAAATATCAAAATTTTAGATGAAAAATCTTTAGAGATCACTTAATTGAATCCTCCCATATGACAGATTAAGAAATTGAGATCCTTACTTTTGTATGTCACTTTAAATATTTCAAAGATCTTCTACATTGATCTCGTACAAACCTCACCACAATCCTGTGGGTTAAACACTGTCATCTTTAGTGTACACATGACCAAACTGAATTGGTCCAAGGTCACATAGCTGGGCCTAGAGACTAAATGACTCTGTGACCTTAAGTTTACTATGTTTTCTTGCTTTAGTAGGATTAAATACATCCCTGGATGAAGTTCTGTTGTGGAAGAAAGTGAGAAGTTAGTGATTTATGCAATAGATCTAAGCAGAAGAAACATATTTCCTAGTATAAAAGTAATAATAACTTCAGCTATATAAATAGCAGAAACAAAGAGGCCAAGGTAGTGGCAAAAAGTAGGGTCTATAAATTGGTTTAACTTTGGTTTCCACTTCTTCCTGGATTAGGAGTAAGCATGATTGACTTTTAGGATTCTTCTGTTTATCAATAGCGTACTATTTGATTTGCTTTGTCCTTATTACTAAAATAATTCAAGGAAAACCATACTTTGTAGTAAGAATTTATATATTATAGATGACCTACAGAGAACTTAAAAAGTTAATGCAAAAGGATACCCTAAAAAAGCAAAGAATAAGCATGAGAAGCTAAGCTTTACATGAAATTATTTAATTATTTTATTGCCTTTATTGATGGGAGTTTTCTTTTATATTTCCACTCTGTAGTTGTGAAGCTATTGCTTAGAATATTACCTATCTCTATGCCAGTGATCTTACTATATAGAACAACAGGGTCTGTCATCTGCGCTAGAGTGTGCTTGCAACCTCAAACTTCTGGGCTCAGGTGATCTTCCTGCCTACACCTTTCTAACACCCACCACCACTCCTGGCTAATTTTTTCTATTTTTTGTAAAAATGGTCTCACATATCCTCTGAGCTGAAGCAATCCTCCTGTCTAGGCCTCCTAGGCTGCTAGGAGCAAGCTCATTGTGCCAGAGCAATATTTTCTTTTCATTGCAAAGAAAATTATCTTATAACTAGTATGTAGTATATGGAGCCAGGGACAATGGCTGATATAATCTCAGCATTTTGGGAGGCCGAGATGAGAGGATCACTTGATGCCAAGAGTTTGAGACTAGTTTGAACAACATAACAAGGCCCCATCTCTATAAACATTTTTTTGAAAAATTACCTTGGCTTAAAAAAAAAACCAAAAAACAGAAAATTACGTGGGCATGGTGACAAGTACCTATACTCTCAGCTACTGAGGCAGGAAGACTACTTGAGCCTAGGCGTTTAAGGTTGCAGTGAGCTGTGATGATGCCACTGCACTATAGCCTAGGCAACAGAGTGAGACTGTCTGTTTCCCCTGAAAAGCCTAATGTGTGGATGTGAACAGTTCTTTTTACAGTATTGATCACCCAATTGCCCCTCTTTAAAAGGAACTGATTTTCTAGATGGTACTTTCTCTGCAGATATGAAAATTTGATTTCTAATAAAATCTTTTTTTGTTCTATAATAAAATTTCACTAATGTGAAACTATTCTATAGATCCAATAAATGGAAGGAGGATCTCCCAGATGGTTTTAAACAAATAAGGAAAACAGTGAAGGATGAAGTCGGTATAGAACAAAATTTAAAAACAATAAGAATTGACTTAGAGAAGAAAAATTTATTATTTCCTTTTGGAAATCTAAAGTTCTTAAGAGTCTTTTTAAAAATTCTCTTGCCCTGCCGCTATGTTCTTTCCATATGCCCTGGCCTACAGAAGGCTCTGCCTCTCAGCTCATACCCATTCTCACACCATCACAGAGCCATGGCCTTCAGGGAAATGGCATTTGATACAGACTTGAGTACAGTTAGTTTTTAATTCTCATCTTCGTATCTGACCTCAAATCATGTGCAAGGGGGTTTTCTAGCTATGATGTTTTACAATGCTTTTATAAAGGAAAAAGTAGGCTGGTGCAGTCACTTACATCTGTAATCCTAACACTCTGGGAGGAGGAGGCTGGTGGATCCCCTGAGCTCAGGAGTTTGAGACCTGCCTGAGAGAGAGTGAGACCTTGTCTGTAAAACTAGCCAGGTGTTATGGTGGGTGCCTGTATTCCCAACTACTCAGGAGGCTGAGGCAAGAAGATCACTGGAGCCCAAGAGTTTGAAGTTGCTGTGAGCTATGATGCCACAGCACTCTACCAAGGGTGACAAAGTGAGACTGTGTATCCAAAAAAAAAAAGGGAAAAAATAAAAAGTATACTCCACAGTAGTTGATTTCTGATTTTGTTGACATAACTCAGGAGTTAGTTTCCCAGAAGTGTCAAACACCTGGCATAAACAGTTTCATTAAATTGTACCTATTATAAGATGGTCGTGTCTTGCTTTACCCAGACTATGGTTAGTTGTAAGGACTACTGTAGCTGTGGCTAGCTGTGATTCAGTGGTCATAATAAAATTATGATATTTAAGTAAAGTTATGATATTTAGCTGAGGGCTTAGAGTTTTGAAGGTTGCTGGTCTTTTTCCTGTGATTTGTAAGTTTCCCTTGTGTGGCTTTAGGGTTAAAAAATTCCTATCCTGGAGTCAACTGCAAGCCAACCAGGCTTTCAGGCTGGTGTCCCACTCATATTAAAATGTTCCCTTTCTGTGCATGTATGGCCTCATGATTCAGAAGGCATGGTTTAAATACATATAAGCATGATTTTAATACATACAAACTTTTTAATTTTTAAGTACTTATTTCAAGAAAGAAGTTGTTGCTTTCCTCTCCCAGCCCCCAATTTTATTGACAAATCTGGGAGCATTAAGCAAAATACTTTGCCTAGAGATTGATGCAGAAATAATACAGATTTTTTTACCCCTTGTCACTATGTAATCAGTTTCTATGCTAGGGTACTTTCTAAAAATTAGATCAGTTCTTAGATATATGAAAGTTTGAAAAAGTATCAGATCCTTTTGATATAGTTTTCAGTAAATCTGAGGATGGCAAAGGAAAATATAGAGCTCTTGATTTATATGTGTGGATGAATATGTGTATGTTTGCATTTATGATCTAAACATCTGATTAATGAAATATTTTATTTGATTTACAGCTTGCTTGTTCAACTGTTTTTTTCAGATGAGGGTTCAAATGATTAGGTTACATTGTTTGTTTGTTTTATGAGACAGTCTTACTCTGTTGCCCAGGACAGAGTGCCATGGCCTCAGCCTAGCTCACAGCAGCCTCAAACTTAAACTGAGTTCAAGTGATCCTCCTGCTTCATCCTCCTGAGTAGCTGGTACTATAAACGCCCACCACAATTCCCAGAAAAAAAAAAAAAAATTTTTTTTTTTGAGACAGAGTCTCACTATGTCACCCTCAGTAGAGTGCCATGGCATCACAGCTCACAGCCACCTCCAACTCTTGGGCTTAAGCGATTCTCTTGCCTCAGCCTCCCAAGTAGCTGGGACTACAGGCACCTGCCACAACGTCTGGCTATTTTTTTGTTATTGTTGTCATTGTTGTTTAGCTGGCCTAGGCCAGCCTGGGTATAAGTGGCTGGTGCCCTACCCACTGAGCTATGGACACCACCCAATTTTTCTATTTTTAGTAGAGACAAGGTCTTGCTCTTGCTCAGGCTGGTCTCAAACTCCTGAGTTCAAGTGATGTTCCTGCCTCAGTTTCCCAGAGTGCTACCAGCTTCCTTCTTAAATAAGTTATTTTAAAATTTAAGATGGTGATAGAGTTATAAGAAAACATTGAAAAGTTTTCAAGTGTATTGCTACTTAACAATTAAAGCCCAGGGCTTCATTTGTATTTCTTTGTATTACATTTGAAA